TAAAGCTCCCCTCTTCTTTGATCGATCTCCTCCAAAATGGCCCCAAGAAGCGCCCAGGAGGCACCAAGAGGCCCCAAGATGGCCCCAAAAGGCCCCCAGGAGGCCCCCAAGAGGCCTCCAAGAGGCCCCCGAGATGCCCCCAAGAGGCCCCCAAGAGGCCCCAAGAGGCTCCCCCGAGGCACCCAAGACGCTCCTGGAAGCCCCTGGGGCCGCCAAGAGGCCCCCAAGACGCCCCAAACGGCCTCCAAGAGGCTCCCAAGAGGCCCGAAGAGGCTCCCCCAAGGCACCCAAGACGTTCCTAGAAGCCCCTGGGGCCGCCAAGAGGCCCCCAAGACGGGACGAGGTGCCCGAACGCCTCACGCCACGAGGAGCCCGAACGACTCACACCAGGAAGAGGGGCGCGAACGACTCACACCACGAAGAGCCCGAACGACTCACACCAGAAGGAGGGGCCCGAACGACACACACCAGCACGAGGCGCCCGAACGACTCACACCACGAGGAGCCCGAACGACTCACACCACGACGAGGGCCCCGAACGACTCACACCGAGCGAGGAGCCCGAACGACTCACACCAGGACGAAACAACTCACACTACGAGAAGCCCGAACGACTCACCACGCCACGAAGAGCCCGAACGACTCACACCAGGAAGAAGGGCCCGAACGACTCACACCAGGACGAGAAACCCCAAACGACTCAAACCACGAGGAGCGTTTTCTCTCCCTCCTCCTCCGCCTCGTCCTTCTCCCGCTCCCCCCCACAAGGAGTATGTACAAGGAGGCGGGAGGAAGGAGTAACAGGGGAAATATGCGGGGCCAAGCGGACACACGCCTGAAAAACAAGACTGTCGGCATGCTTCGCAAGAGTTGCTGTTGTGAGATGGGTTGGTGGGGATACGCGAAGCGTAAAGAATTCTAAATGTGAGCTCAAACCATCCCACCCATGCCAATACCCGACGATCAAACATCGTCAATTTGTAAGAACCCCTTTCAACAAAAACACGAAGTGCACACGCGCGCGTCGGTGCGCGCGCAGGCCGGAAATTGTCGAAAATCGAAATGTTCGTAAGGATTGCAAAATCGAGCGTCTCGGAACATCATGAAGCACACGTTGTACAACATGGGGGTTCGAAAATCGGTTTGCCCGCGCGTTGCTGCGATTTTGACACGAAAACATAATATATTTCAACAGATTCCTCACATGCTACCAAACGGGCTTTTCGCGCGTGCATGTCAAAATCATTCGAACGCCCTTGCACGCGCGTTGGGGGGTAAGCTTTCGGTCAAATGATGTCATTCGGGCAACTCGCGCCCATCGGCCGCGCGCGCATGTCGAAATCTTCCCGAAACCGTTACCACCGACAAATTCACACAACCATCGTCATCAGCGTAATCAACATCGACGCCGTCATTGGCCCTTCCGTCGTTATCGTCATCGTTGTCACCACCGCCGAAAGTATCAATCGTGCCTGCCGTTGTCGACGTCGCCATGATACCGCGCCCGCCCGTATCACAGACTCGCACAGAAGTGCCAGCGCGTCAGCGCGGCCTGAGAGAGGCGCTGAGATGTTTCCAGCAGGCAGCGCCGCCGCGGTCGCGTCGATCGCACCAGACTAGTTGGCCGCTCTGCGCGCGAGCCTGCGCGAGATAGCGCGGCCGCATCGATGCGCAAGCCAACAAGAAGTAATCGCAAGCGCCACCGCATGGAATTGGCAAACCATGTGTGGGTCGGTGGGTGGAATGATTGCGCGAGAAGTGGAGTCGGCAACTCATTACAAAACCGCAGTTAACTGCAACACCTAGATGAAGTCATATAGCTTACACCAACTAAGTTGCACTACATAGCTTAAACCACATCGATTGCTCAACATAGACTGCACTACATAGCGTGCACCACATATAGTGCACCACGCAGACTGCATGTTGCACCATGTAGAGTGCACAACGGAGTATGCTAGAACACACACACACACACTGATTGACGCTGGCTAACATCATCCTCGCCTTCCTCGTCCTTTTCCCTCCTCCCCCGCGTCCTCATTGTTCCACCTGCCCCTCCTAATCCTCCTGTCCCCTTCCTGTTCCTTCTGCTCGTCCTCCTCGTCTTCCTCCTCCTCACCCTCAACAACTATCTCCCTCATCCCCTGAAATTGTGCGGACGATGTCCCGCTCCTTCCGCGCTTTCTTTGCACGCCGGAATTGAAACATTGGTTTTACGGTGAGTTTCAATCCGTTTCTCTTCGGTGTTTCAAGATGGTGCTCACGCTGCAGCGTGGGCCTGATGTTCGGATCGACGCTTTGCTCCCATCGTTCAAACTGACGCTCTCGCCCCAGCTCGGGCCAACTTTTCGGAATCCGAGTCTTGCTTCATTGTGGTCCCCCTCATCATTCCCCCTCCTCCGCCTCCCCCTGGTCCTCCTGTTCCTCCCGTCCCTTCCACTCCAGTTCGTGTTGCTGCAGTTGGTCTCGTCCCAGCGCGGGCAACTTTTCGGAATCCGAGTCTTTCTTCATCGTTGTCGCCCCCCTCATTTCCCCTCCTCCACCTTCCCCTGGTCCTCTTTTTCCTCCCCCTTTCGCTTTAGTTTCTGCTGCTACTGTTCGTCCTCATCCTGTTCCTCCCGCTCATCCTCCTGTTCACCCGCCACCTCATCCTCCTCATCCTCCTCTTGTGCATGCAGCTCCCACTTCTCCGATTGCGCATGACACGAAGTGGTCATTCCATGGGAATCGCATGTCGGCTATGACACGCGTCCGCGGATGATGAAAAATCAGCACCATGGAAAGAAATGGGAGGGAGGGATAGGATGTCAGATGAGGCGCGAGAACACCCAGCTTGTCACCGACATTCGAGGATGCGGTGTTCGTCCGCGCACGTATCCCGCAGAGCCGTCCTCGACAATCGGGGGCATTTGAGCAGTGGGTAGTAGAGGCCTCCAAAATGGGGTCCGGGTAGATCGGATGATCGAGCCGCATCGCCGATGACTGCGCGATGCGCCAGCGACGCTCCAGTGATGTCGATGATGCGTCGGCGCCGTCGGTATGGAGAACCTCGGGCCCCATATCGAGCGGCATCGCCGATGCTTCGGCGACACGGCGCACTCCTCCGACCTCATCTACTCCGATGCCATGTGGGAGGCCTGGAGATAGAGGGGTCGGAACGATTGACCGACCATGGCTTCTGAAGCAAAACTGTGTCCTGTGTGCTGGCTGCGCGGCGGTAAAGCTGGACGATGCCCTCCTGTTGGGTCTACTGTCTTATGGCACGTGGCAATTGTTATTGACGTGATAGCTTGCACCACAAAGCCGGGCAGGTGTCAATCTACCTGACAATTCTGCGCCAAGAACCGTCGGATCCGATGTACGCTTAGGCACAATTGTAATGCACGCTCCTGGGTTCACGTTGCACAGCGATTGCGGACAGTCGCGCTGAGCCGCTGTGCCAACAGTGGTCTAGACTTGATCTCGCCGTCCTAGATAACGCCTGATGGCGTATTCGGATGATCCTCGGCATAGTCAAAAACAAAATAATGAATGAGGGACGATCTAGGGAGGAGGGAAAGATGAAAGAACGAGGGAGGAGGGAGGAAAGCTCTGTCATTCCAAGCTTGCAGCTCGCCGTTAAGTCCGTCTTCGCCCCTTTCCTTCGACGTCTCACGATTTGTTCGATACGCCGGCCGGGGGCGTACGTATGGGGGTCTCTCGACCCCTGGTTTGTCTCCCTAGTCTAGTCGCCAGAGCCCGCAACGAGCCTCCACAGACCCTCCTGAGGCCAGTAAAGAGTACAAAACTATATTGATCCTCCAGCCTCCCCCTCCTCCTCCTCCTCCGCCTCCTCCTCCGCATGGCCCTTCCCCTCTTTGAGAGACCAGCTCCATACCCCATCTGGGGTCAATCTGTCCTGGCCACTTTCTCCAGCTGCGTCCGGCCGTGGCCACGAGGCACCCCCCCCAGAAGGTCCAACACAAGAGCGAGACGCACCAATCCATACAGTGAGGATGTTCGTTGCTGCGCTTGGCGTGTGGGCGGCCAAATAAAGGCCTCCTGGATGGGTCCGAGTAAGCGAGGTCGGAGGATCGCGCCGTATCGCCGATACATCGGCGACGTCGGCGATGCATCGGCGTCGTCGGCGAGGAGAAAATCGGGCTCCACATCGAGCCGCATCGCCGATGCATCGGCGATGCGGCGCTCCTCCGACCCCGTCTACTCGGACCCCATCTGGGAGGCCTAGACCAGAGCCCCTGCGGCACGCTATGGCCGGCAAGCTGATACGGTTGAAGGAAAGATGTGCAAGCAGGTCCCGACAAAAAACAAGCATCCAACAGGCATCCCTCGCCCGGACCCCGACCTCGTGCCGCTCGCAGTCGCCCCGGCTCCTCCCGACCCCGGAGGCCTCCTGGGCCTCCTGAGCTCCCAGGAAACCCCCGAGGGCATCTGGGGACAAGAAAAGGCGACGCACCCCACCCCCAGAAGAAGGCGCACAGACAGAATACCCCGTCGTCGCCGCCGCCGCCACAATGGTCGTCACCACCATCGCCGTCGTCCGTCGTCGTCGCCGTCCGTCGAAGGTCGCCGTCGTTCGGAGCAGGGCGAGTTGAAACAACGGCAGCTCAAATCGGTCCCCAGACCCCTCCAGGGATTCAAGCGTACCAGTTTTCCAAGCTGCGCCCAGCCATGGCGACGAGGGGGCCCCCAATCGGCAACTACCGCTGCCTCAACTCGCCCTCCTATGAGGCGTCCGTCGCCATCGGCGTCGTCCGTCCGTCCGATACCACTCGCCCAACCCTCTCCCGGGGTGCGCTCTGACTATAATTTCCATGAATCCAGCCGTGGTAACGAGTAGCTGTATCGGTATCTTCTCCTCCCCTGACGTCCGCCGTGGTCGTCGTCGTCGTCGCCGTGTTAGTCTTCGTCGTCGTCGCCGTCGTCGCCGTCGTCGTCGCCGTCGTCGCCGTCGTCGTCGTCATCACCGTCGTCGTTCGACCCGCGAGGCCCCAGGCCTGTCCCGGGTACGGCGGCCGGTCCGGCGGCGCCGCGGCCGCATCGTCGGCCTCGCGCTGGCGTGCCTGCTCGGCGTACGGTTGGGCCGCGTTCCTGGCCACGGGTCGTCGTATACCTCCTCCAGCTGCACACTGCCTCGCCCTACCTCCGCGTCCCTGCTACCCTCCTCCTCCTCCTGCCGCCTACTACCTCGTCCTGCCTCCTTCGAGATCCCCTCCCAAGCTCTTCGGGCTAGGCCCCCACAATTTTTTCGGGCTTCGCCCCCCCCCAGGTTTTCGGGTTCGGGCCCTCCGCTTTCGGGCTTCGCGGGGTTTTCTTGCATAAACAGCCGACCATCATGGGCCCCCGTCTGGCCAGGATTGGTGCAGTACGCAGTTGGAGCCCATCTGCATCATTCGTGATAGCGCCCCTTACTGGCCCTTCCCTGGCAGCCTCACGATTCGAGCCGCCGGCGTCGTCTAGGAACTAGTGATTCCAAGGCATTCCCAGACGGCTTCGGAGCGAATCGTGATGTTTCTGGCCCCCTCCTCCCCCTGGTAACGCCCCGTTTCGCCAGGGGCTGAGAGAATGGTATCGTGGCGTCCTCCTTTTCCTCTCCATCGCCCACCCTCGGCGGCACATCAAAGGGCGCATGACGAGGGGCGGCCGTCCAATAAGGAGGGGTGGAGGTGCGTAGGAAGGGACCAGTCCCTTGAAAGCGTCGGTGGCAACTCGTGGAAGCCTCCCATACCATCTTGCTGGCTCGCTAATCGACGCTACATCGACGCCAATCGACGCTCACCAGCACTGAGTCGGCGCTATCTCATCGGTTACCAAATGCTGATCGACGCTAGAGCAGTCTAACGACGGGATTACGAAAGTACATGAGGCCCCCATGAGTTGCTACCACAGAAAGCCATTCGCGCCACACGTTCTGAGGTCGGGGGCCTCCTTAGATGGCCGCCCCCCTCGCCCAGCCTCACCCTGTACACCCCTCCCACTCCTCAAAACCGGCACCCGGACTTCTCCTGGGGCGCGCTCTTGAGCATCGTCAACATGGAACAGTGGGCCCAGAGGCCCTTAGCACCAACCAGTTACCCCCTCGAGGTGGGGATGGGTGTCGCGAAACACAACCGATACGGCATCTATCCCCACCCAAGGGGGCTGATCGGACAGCGGGCCAATGGCTGTGCCGGTGGGAATGGGGACGGGTCAAAGGATGCTGAGACCTGGCCATGCCTTCTCGTATCCTCCGCGTTTCACGGAATGCGCAGACTGCCGCCTCGGGTGGACATGGGGCACGCTGTGACTCGCGGTAAAACCTTGGCTGCTCGGTGCGGTCTACAGAATGCACCAAGTCGCAGAGCGGGTCGATGAAGTGCAGCGGCCGCATACGCTAAGGCGACAGTGTCCGACGGGAGAAGGACGAGGAAGACAAAATTCCAAGGCGGACCCAGCGGCGGCCGAAAGGGTCAGACCCATCCTCATCCCGCGACGCCGCCGAGCCCCCCCCCCGCCCGTGGGCCGACAGCTCCTGCCATGTCCTGACATACCTAGGGGCTCCCCTGAACCGGCCTTGCACGATGCCCAACAGCAAATGTTGTCCCAAACCGAGAATGGCCGCTGTTAGACAGGCGACGTTGTGGAACAAATGGACAACGTCCGCGGCGGCACCGACAGCAAGTCCTCTCTGGACAGGGAAAGAACTGCTGTCGGTCTTCGTTCCCTTTATGTCCGTACCCATAATAGTCGTGCCGAGTCTCGGGACCTGGTGCGGGCCCCGAGACAGCGAGAGAAACCTCCCCAGACATCCGAAGTCTTGACTTCTCCCTCGGGGTCCTCAGAAGGTCCGAACCTCTCCCCGGGGCCGGGTTTGCGTCCCTATATGTCTTGTTTGTGGTCCCTGGGCATGGCGAGGACCCCTTAAGGCCGAAAACAAATAAAACCTGACCCCCGTGATTTTGTTCACAACGCGAGCATGCCTGGGCTGGGATCTCCTTCCCTCAGGACACCCCTCCTCTTGCTCGTGGCCGCAGCTCCTCACGTGCTGTCGAGGCGCCACCACGTCCCCGAGGCCTCCGCCCCACCTCGGGGGTCACTGCAGGGGGCGAAGACGGCGAGGACGGCGAAGACGGCGAGGACGGCGAAGACGGCGAGGACGGCGAAGACGGCGACGACGACGCGCCTGGCGCAGCCCGCCCGCCGACATTGGAGGGTAACGTTAGGCGGGGACTGGCTCACGGGGGGAAGCATCGAGCTGAAATCGGCGATACGTCGTCGATAGACCGGCGATAGTCCCGCGACATCGACTCCGCACGCTCCTGGCGGGGTGGACTATCTGGCCGCCATCGGCGATGGATAGGCGATTAGGGGTCGATGCATTCCCCCCCAGAGCCTGTTCCCCCTAACGTTGTCCCCGAGACGCCCGCCGACGCAGCCGGCCCGCTCGAGACAACTGGGCCCCACCCAGGGCACGGCAGGTCGGAGCAGGGCAAGCTGAGACAACGGCAGCTCAAAATCAATCCCTGGACCCATCCCGTGGTCCAAGCGCAACAGTTACCCGAGCTGCGCCCAGCCATGGCGACGAGGGGAGTTCCCGATAGTCAACTACCGCTGTCTCAACTCGCCCTCATCTGAGTCGCCCGTCGCCGTCGTCGTCGTCGTCCATCCGTCCGATACCCATTCTGCCCCGACCTCTCCCGGGGTGCTTTCTGACCAGCTGTGGCGACGAAGGTGCCCCCCGAAGCCCGACTACCGTTGTCTCAACTGGCGCTCTTCCGAGCATGGGGGCGACGGCGAAGACGGCACAGACGGCGAGACAGCTTCGCACGAAGCGTGACTCGTGATTCCTGAGGGGAGCGGGTCATGGGCACCGGGAGCCGGGAGCTTCCCACAGCCCAGGACCAGCGCCTCGTCCAGAGCCACTCTTGGACGGCCCCGAGGCCCGTGGAAGGCCTCCAAAGTCCGAAATTTAAAACAACAAGACAAGCAACCGTTCCGACGCAGAGATCCCCAAATGTGCATCTCGTTTCCTGGCACGTCCCACTGAGAGTGTCCGGCCGTGAGCATCTGGATGCGAGAGCGAGTCCGAATGGATGTCGTGTACGACTACGACTACGACTACGACTACGACGACGAGGACGACGACGATTACGACGACGACGACGACGACGACGACGACGACGACGACGACGACGACGACGACGACGACGACGACGACGACTGCGGCGGCTACGATGAGGGACAGCGACGACGACAACTCACAGACAGACTGTCGATCAGCAGGCCCCCTCCCCGATCCTTCCTCTCACTGCTCGTCGTACGTCGTACATACCCCCTCCCTTCTCTTCCTCCCTCCTCCCTTCTTCCTCTTCCTGCGTCCTCCTCCTGCCTCCTCCGTCCTCGCTCCTTCGTCCTCGCGGTCGTCCTTCTCCCTACGTCGAAGTGACCATGGGGGTCTGAATGGACAATCCGCCACCGTGCCGGGTGCACGTTGAGGCGTGGAAGGATGCCAATGTCAGTCTGGTTGGGTTTCTGAGACGTTCTAGGGGACCCCCCCCCCTCCCGGCCGCACTTCGTCGCGCGCATCGTCTCCCCTTCCCGAGGCCAAAACTCCTCGCAGAATCCGACAGAGTCGCGCTCCCGAGGCCCAGAGGCATCCAAGACAGCCCAATATCGCTCCAAGACGGGGCCATGTTGGCCTCAAGAATGCCCGAGATTGCTTCAAGACAGCCCACGAGGCCGTCGAGACGTCCCAAAAAAGAGCCCCAGGAGCCTTCCCAAGATGGCCTCGAGAGGTAGGCATCACTGATGTTCCGTAGATGCTTCTATGTGTTTCGGGTTCTCGCCGTTTCGAGCTTCCGACGTCCCATGAGGACCCAAGAGGCCACCAGGACTACCCCAAGATGGCCCAAAGAGGCTCCCAAGAGGGCCCCAGACGGCCCAAGAGGGCTCCAAGACGGCCCAAGAGGCGCCTCCGAATGCTCAAGTGGCCGCCAAGAGAGCTCCAAGACGGCCCCAGCTCCAAGACGGCCCAAGAGGCGCCCACGACTGCACAAGGGGCCCCAAGATGGCCCGGAGAGGGCCCAAGAGCGGGAACACGAACCCTGAAATCGAGCCTTCTGCCCAAAGAGGCCTCCAGCAGGCCCCCATTGCACCACCCAGAATGCTGCGCTGGCACGGTGGCGGAATTGCTGCAGGCAGCTGGGTAGTCCCGAGGTGCAAGTTCTGAATAACCGAAGCCCAAGCCACCAAACGAGCAAACCGCCTGAGGCGTCCCCATAACCTGGGCGCGAACGGGCAAACCCCCTTCCCCCTGACGGCGTCCCCTTGGAGTGCAAAAACCAGAGCCTCGCTGGAGGCATCCTCACAATATGTTCTGGAAGACCGAAGTCCAAGCCACCAAACGGGCAAACCACCAGAAGCAGCCTGACAACCTAAGCGAGAACGGGCAAATATCCTAGCCCATAGTGGCTCCTCCTCGGCGTGCTCAAATGCCACGCCTGCTACATTGCGATAAGCATGAGGTTCTGAAACGAAAGAAGTCTGATCAACCAAACAGGCACACCGCCTGAGGCATCCCCACAACCTGGGCGCGAACGGATACATGTGCTACCCCCTGGCGGCTCCCCCTGGGGAGGGGGGGGAATGCCACGGTGTGGGGTTCTGACAGGGGTTCTGCCAGGAGAACTCTGCTCGACTTGACAGGCAAATCGCCGGAAACATCCTGACAACCTGGTCGAGACCAGGCAAAGCTCCTATCCCCTGGCGACTCTTCCCTGGGGTGATCAAACGTCACGCCTGCTACATCGCGATGGGCATGGGGCTAGGAAGACAGAGAAGTCTGATCAACCAAACAAGCAAACCGCATGAGGCATCCCCACAACCTGGGCGCGAACGGGTAAATCTCCTAATCCCTGGCGGCTACTCCTTGGCTTGTTCAAATGCCACGCCTGCTGAATCGAGATAAGTATTGGGCCTTGAATAAGAAAGCCTGATCAACCAAACAGGCAAACCGCCTAAGACATCCTGACAACCTCGGCGAGAACGAACAAATATCCTCAACCGTGGCGGCTTCCACGTGGGATGCTCAAACGCCACGCCTGCTACATCGAAATAAGCAGTATGATCATTGGGCATTGGGCTATGAAAATACAGAAGTATGATTAACGAGATAGGCAGAACGCATGAGACATCTCCACAAACTTGGCGCGAACTGGCAAAGCTCCTATCTCCTGGCGGCTCCTTCTTGAGCTGCTCAAACGGCACTCCTGCTACATCGCGATGAGCGCGGGGCTCCGCCTGCGTGAGGGATGTGTGTATGAGTCTGAATATGACTTGATTGAGTATGAGTGGATATGACAGAGATTGGTGTGTATGATTGTGTCTTGAGAATGGGCGACTCTGAGAATGAATGAGTCTGAGTATGAGTGCGTCTGAGTGTCATTAAGCCTGTGTGTGAGTGCATCTGAGCGTTAGTGAGTCTGAGCATGAGTGATCTGAGTGCGATGAGTCTGAGTGTGAGTGTATCGATGTGCGAATGAGTCTGAGTATGAGTCATGGGAGTGTGCGTGTGATGAAAAAGAAAGAGAGAGAGAGAGAGAAAGAGACAAAGAAAGAAAGAGAAGGAAGAGAGAGAGAGAGAGGAAAAAAAACATCAAAAAAGGAGTGAATGAGGCAGGGGAGGCGCCCCAGTACTCAGGAGATGGAAATCACTATAATTCCACATGTTGGAGGCCAGGGCTGTGCGCGCCCAGGCACCGCACGTGCGCGGCCACGCGGCGCGGGGCCGGCTGGCGCTGCGGACCCACGCCGGGTTCCACGGGACCCGCCTGCTTCCTCAGGGCGAGAACGTCATGGTGCGAGGATTCGTTCCACGAGCTCCAGAGTATCCAGCGGGCCTCGCTTCTGGAGCCCTCGCGGCGGAACAACAGGAAACCTTCGAAATCCAGGGAATCTGAGGAGGCTCGGAACGCATCAGTATCACGGCTTCTTGCTCCTATGCTTCGAGGGGAAACGTTAGGGGGAGGCTGGCTCAGGGGAAGGAACATCGACCTGGAATCGGCGATACATCGCCGATACATCGGCGATAGGCCTTCGATATTGAATCCGCACGCTCCTGGGCGGGGCGGGCTGTCGGGCCCGTATCGCCCATCAATGGGCTCTGGGGGTCGATGCATCCCCCCCCAGAGCCTATCCCTCCCGAACGTTGCCCCCGATGCTCCATGGCGGACGAAGGCGACGACGACGGCTCCCGACGCAGCCGCGGCCCGCTGACGCCCCGAGTCGGCAGAAGCCCCCCCAGTCGATCGGGCGCGCCGCAACGGACGCTCCACCGCCGCGGAGGGATGCCCCAGCCTCCGCTCGAGAGGCACCCTCGCGGAGGCCCCAAGC